GTGGGGGCTGGGGCCAGGGCAGGCTGGGCTGCATAGCCTCCCCGGTGGGCCCAGGCAGGCCGGGCTGTGCCGCCACTGCTGGAGCAGGCCAGGCTGCGCCACCTCCCTGTGTATACGCCGCCATGGGGAATACACGGTGCGGTGTATACACGGACTTATTTACAAAAATACAATTTTCTGCGGGTTATACATGGGTGTGGCTTATACCCATGGGCGGGGGATATTCACGAAAATACGGTGTACACACACACACACACACACACACACACACATACACACACTCACATTATATATACTGATTGTTATACAGACCTGACAACAATTGCATTATATTCTGTATTTTGTACAGTTGCAAACTGTATTTTGTACAGTTTGATCTGATTTTATTTGTTTTATACAGGTTTCCCTCACTTTATACGGGTTCTGTATGTGTGAATTGACTCTTATGCGATGACCCTTTTTATATCAAAAATTCGTTATATGCAAGGTAAATTCACTCTTATGCGATCGGTGTTGTGGAAGCCCACAGGTAGCTGCTTTGTGCGGTGCATTGTGGGAGTGACACGCAACAAAATATAGTCTCCTGTGTGGATCTGTCCTACTTGCTCACTGTCTGTGACATGTGTTTCTGTAGCTGCCATCCCCATTATGATTTCTAAGAGTCCCACTACCTTATCTCCTACCCCTCTCTCTGGTCCATCAATGAAGCCTTCACCAGCCTCTCTTCACACCAACTCAACATTCACCACCACCCTGTGCTTGTGTGTACCATCTGCTGTTGGCAAGTACCAAAACTGTCTCATAAAAGTGGTAGAAATGGGTCTGGGGGTCAGTACAGTCAAGGTCTTGGAATGTATCCTTGTTACATTGTAAAGCGGGTTCCCTTTGTGCGAATTTGAGTTATGCGCCATTTTCCAGGAACGCATGTACAGCATAAAGCGAGGGAAACCTGTATCTCACTCTCTCCACTCTCCAAAAGTCTCAGAGTGGCTTACAATAAACAAACAAACCACAATCTAGAGGATTCCCCATACAATACAACATTGCAAAACCCAAGAACTCCAACTTCCCCAACCACTGCCCCCTGCCCAAACCACCAAGCAAGCTTTCCTGCCAATCCCAACCACAATTAAAAACATTTAGAAGTCTAACATGACAAAACTGAAGAATGTTTTGTGATATGAGAATAACTTGTTTTTTATCTAAATCAAAACACAGATGTACAAATGAGAAGTACATGAAATAGCCAAGAATTGGGAAACTGGTAAGTAGTGCATGAGGTGATGCAGCAGTCCTGGACTTTGTTACTGTAAAGTGAATTTTTGTTATGATGCTTACCTACGATTTATGTTATTTTTACATACAATTTTGTATGCTTAGAATCACCCTATTCAATCCATAAAGGCATTACTTAAACTCTGTTTCACCTATATACATACCTAAGTTAAAAGTTGTTCCCATGTGGATTTATTTATTTATGTGATTTATGTGTCACCTTCTAAACAAAGGTTCAGGGCAGCTTACAGTAAGAGAAATAGAACAACTTAAAAGGGCAACTAAAATAAATAAAACAAAATAAAGCAGAGAGCCACTAAACAACACCTTGGCCTGGCTTTGTTTACTAAATGCTTGCCCAAATAGAAAGGTGGTGAGGTGTGAGGTTCACATTCTCCTGTGCCTGGCATTAATAAACTGGCAGGGTATACTTCTGACCAGTCAATCTTACACAGGAGGGAATTAAGTTAGTAGTGGCTGAAGTGCAGAAGCACTGGCTGCTCCAGCTGGTAACACTCCGGGTCCTCTCATAAGATGTCTACACTTTCATAGCTTACCTTGCTAGTAATAATAACAAACATTACACAGGACTACCATGAAAAAATGAAATTTGCAAAACTGAAAAATCTCAAAATATCTGAATATTAATATATACACCAAAGGCTTGGGTGATATTGCCTTTTATAATGTGTATTGATCTACTCATGCAGGGGTGGCCAACCAGCAGCATGGGTACCACAAGAGTCACTGGCAGCTTCTCCATGGAGTACATAGCACATCAGGGAGGGAGCACAGTGACAGATATGGCAGAAAGCAAATTAGCAGATTGGGCATGGAGCATAGGGAAGGAAATAGAAAGCAGAGCTGTTAATCAGTCAGGAAACAGGGCTGGAAGCAGAAAGCAGAGCAGCAGATCGGGCAGGGGGAAGCGGGGCAGACAGGAGTGACACTTGGGAAGGGTGCAGGGCTAAATTGTGGCATGCTTGCAAAAAAGATTGGCCCTCAGTACAAAAGTGGCATTTCAAACAATCAGAACATATTACAGAGGTGCTGTTGATAGTATTCCCAGCTTAACATTATTTTCATGTCTCCTGCATGTATTGCTGAGGGGATAGCGGAGCTGTGCTGGTGATTAGTGAAGCCTATAGTAGGTGGAAAACTTGCTCTGCTGTGGCTGGTATTTCTGGCTTTATCAACTTTGGCAGGGATTTGAGGCACATTCAAGAAGATTTTAAGAATACTGTATGCAACAAGGTGCCTCACACTTTTTGTTCTCTTATAGTTTCAGTATTTTTATCCATTGCAGATATTCTGAACTACAAAAAGCTATGAGCCATTCAAAATCTAGCCCTGTGGCATCTCTACCTAGGCCATGCTGCCATAAAATCTAGACCACTGGAGACCAATGTCTTTGGCAAGCATGCCATACATTAGCCCTGTATTCTCCCCAAGATCCATGCCAATCCCCTTCCCTGACGTATCTGCTGCTCTCCTTTCTGCTCTCAGCCTTGTGTTCCCTGCTGACCTACTGCTCTGCATTCTGCTTCCTGCCCTATCAGCAGCTGTGCTGTCTCCTCCCCAATATTCCATGTGCCACACAAAGACACTCCCGTGCCACTTGTGTCACCCATACTGCAGGCTGACCACCCCTGAACTACACAATATCCTGACCTGAAATAATGCTAAAGTCGTGAATTTCTTTTACTTCTTAAATGAGTGCACGGCAGTGTGAAGAGAAAACAGAAAAATGGATTTGAAGATCACCAAAGTATAGGTCACTATTTATCTTAAATGGAGCAATCCAAACTCACCAAAAGCAGTAGAACTCTGTCCACTGTCTTCATTATGATTTGGATCAGAGGTAGGCAAAATACAGCCTATGGGCCAGATCCAGCCAGCCAAGGGATTCTATCCATCCTGTGGTGAGTCCCTTGGCCCCACCTAGCCCGGGCACAGGGGGCAGCCCGGGCCATGGTGTGTGCGGCCACTACCCCCACCCTTGGAACACGCTGCAGGGAGGGGGTGGCATGGTGACCAAATTCTGTTTCCTGACTGCCCCCGCAGTGGCTGCTCCTCTTGGCTGCTGCCATTAGCATCTCCAATGCTGCTGACCCATCTCTGCTGACCAGTCCACTCTGCATCTACTCCGCCTACCACAGGCCCCGGACAGAGCAGGTGGCGGCCAAGGTTGGGATTGTGGGGTGGTGACAGCATGGGGCCAGGGCCCAGGGCAGAGCTGTGGTCTGCTCCCTGCACATCCCTACTGTCCAGAGAGCAGATCGTGGCTCTGCTCCAGGCCCTACACCACCCTGTGATCCTGGACCTAACCCCTGCCCAAGTGTCCTGCTCTTGGATGTCACTTCCCGCAGCCCCATCCCATCTAACCCACTGAGCATGCTCTGCCCACAGGGGTCCCAGCTGATCTCCATGAAGAACCTGCCTGCCCACTCCATATGGTGTCCCCATTGGTGGGTGCAGGGCAGATGGGCCTGGGTACTTCGTCAGCACTACCCACCCCACCTCTGGCCTGCAACAGCTCAACAAAATTCCTAAAATGCCCTCCAACCAAAATAAGTGCCCACCCCTGGTTTGGGTCTTGTCCATAGTGACCAAGATAATTTTTAACAATATTATATAGCATCCAAATTCTGAGAGCTAATCTTTTACTTAGGGAGAAAAACCCGAGGATAAGTCTACACAGGACAAAATAGCACCCTGCAGAGATACCTCGAGCTAACTTGAGTATCCTCATGCCAACATACACAGTTGGCATAAGCTGTCTCTGCAGGGTGCTGCCTTGCACTAGAAAGACATATTGTAATTCGCCAAGATTTTCAAAAAGATTTCAGTGTTTCAAGTTCCTCTTTGTTTAGGGGTTCAAATTTAGAGGCCTTTTAAGGTCTTGTTTTTTAAACAGTACTTAATATTCATTGCCTGCAAAGGAGTCTTAAAGGTACCTCATGTTGGATACTCATAAACAGAAGCACCTGAAAACCGCTATTCACTTTTGAAATTCCTCATAGTTTACAACAATGCTATTATTCAATAGAAACGTAATACACAATTCATACTGAGCAGCGACCAACTCACTATCTTCTACCTGCACTACCAAGTTATGCTGTTTATAGTTTACCAAGCAGAGTTTTAACTTGCAAAGTTCTAAACAGAAATAGCTGGTAGAGCCCTTACCTTTGGGAATAGTAATCTGACAACCTAGGTCACAGTCCTGCTGCAACTGATAAAAAGCCACTTCCTGTAGTCGAGCACGCTCCAGCTCTGAAAGGCTTTGAACGGGAACTGACTTCAGCCGAACGCTGCGCCCTGACATGCTTTTCCAAGTGAAGTCACCCTGCAGGAAATCAAGTGGAAAAATATGAAGCATCGTATGGTTTGCACAGTTTAATAAACACACCCGTCTCTTTTATCAGCAAGAAAAACATCATGGGGCCTTTAAAAAAAAAAAGTGTTCTTGGACAGCTCTGACCTTTCAAATATCTTTGTTTTCATAAAATCAATATTCCTTAGAGAAGCCCAGACATGCAAAAATATCACTTCCATCTGCACACATTTAACCTACTATTGTTGCACAATGTTGGGACTTCAAGCAAGCAAAGGAAGAAATAAAACAGCACTCAGTTTTTCTTGGTCTGGTGCATTTGACAGCACCTTTGTGTATTATGTATCCCTTGTATAGTCAATTAAATGTACAGAAAATTTACCGGTCTCCTGTACAGTGTGAAGTATATATTCCACAGTGTGCCGAACCTATTCCATTGGTCCACACACAGGGCAAACCACCATAGCTCCACATCCTTCCTACAAATACCCTCCTTTCTTCATGGGCGTATCACGCTTTGATTCATGCTGATTGAATGACGAATTACTACACATGCTCCAAACAGTCCTGATCAACTGTGTGTTAAGATAAATATAACCATACAGCATGAAAAAACACATAATCTATAAATACCAAATGAGTCCATGGGTCAAAACCAAAAGCTCTAGCTGTGATGACATATTTAAAATATTATTCCCTTGGCCAATATTTCATTAAGATGAGGTACATATATTTAAAGTAATCAGCAATTGTGACATACATATGTGCTCCTGGGTTAACCATCAACTTCAAACTAAAATTTCAGAATGGAAGCAAAGTCTAAAAAGGTAGATTAGTACATCTGGAGTGCAAAGAATAATTCTTTGGGGTCCTGAATAAATTCTGACCAAATTAAAAACAGTGGTCCAATGTCTGGGTCAGTGAAATTTGATGTAGCTTTATTAAAGGAAATGGAACTACACTGATTTACAGCAAATGAAGTACACAGACAAAGCAACTCATACTCCAACACAACCTGCTGAGGAATAGATTTGATATTATTAAGCTTCAGTCACATTACAAGAGTGTTTACCCATTTTAACACAAATATAAGAACTCCCATCCTGTATGCGTATGTGTGTCTATCTGATAGATGTACTGTACATATATTTTTGAGTGTAATGGGGGCCCTAACCCATTACTGACAGGGGAAGGGAGACCAGGGCCTGATGGCCAGCCCAGCCCAGCCCCTTGAACAGACTTAATGGCAAAAAGGGACCTTAAATAAGATGGCTGCCTGCTCCAGGTAGTGACTGGCAGGCCTGGGGTGGAAATAGATGGTCAGATGACCCAGGGAGAGGCTCAAAACCCCAGGGTCTGGCCCAGAAAGGGCAGTCTGGCCATATGAGCCACAGGAGGCAGAGCTCCAGGGAGAAGCCAGTCCAGACTCTGGCAGAAAAGACTTTCTGCCACGGAAGGGCAGAAGAGACCCTGCACTGTGAGCAACACAAGAAGGCGGCCTTGAATCTTTTCCATTGGTTCTATTGCAGGGTAAAATTAACCCCGACAGGGGAGCTCGTGTTTTGTGAGCTTTATGTTTTGGGAGCAGATGCTCATGCTTTTGATTTAAATTTGGATTGGAGGACTGGTGTGGCTGTAAGGGTCACATTGGAGGCCACTAAGTTGCAGCAGGGGCACCCAGCTCAGCACACTCTGGGGGCCTGGAACCCTGGGGTGCTGAGTACAGGTCCAAATACATTTAGAGGGAAGACTGTAGCATGTCAGAGGACTGGATATCTTACAGCAAAAACTGGGGAGTGTAATTCCTGTGTCCACAAGGGGTGTGCTTAGGTGTCAAATGGCCCAGAGCCCACGAGGTGCCAGAGCTGGAGCTCAAGAACCTAGGATCCTGGTGCAGTAAACTCCAGGCAGTGGGAACCAGCTAGATTAAAAGTGAGCTAAGGCCAGGAAGGGCCCAGATTCAGACAAAGACCAACCCCAAAACCTGCATCCACTTCCTGGGGCAGAGTCCTTATGAAACTAGAACATCAAGCTGTGACAGGTGAGATAGCTGTAAAGGGGCAGGACCCTGAGAGTCTGAAAGCAAGGGTGAAGAGTTTGGAGCCCAGTGGCAAGCAAGGCCAGGAACTTTGTTGCACCAGCACTGACTATTCAAGCTACACTGAGACAATGATATATGCAAAGTATGATGTAAACATATACTACACTTTATTTTACTTTGCGTTATAGGTATATTGACTGTGCATGAAGTATTTCAGGGCTTATCAAAAGGTACTTCTTCACAACAATCTTTTAAAATGAAAATGATTACAAAACCATGATATAGGGGTATCTATCAGCTCCTTATACAAAATATACAGGCATATCTAGTACACAAATAAATTACACTGCACATATTTAAGATATTACACACACATAACAAGAATTTGCAGCCTATTCCTTTCCCTTCTTCCTTCTCCTCTCCTCCCTCTGTTGATATTTTATGAACAGTTTATTGTCACATAGCTGGGTTGTGCAATTTCAAACTGAAGGTTTGTTATGCCACGCAAACCAAACCCAATGAGCTTAAACTCAGGCTAACCAAATGAGGTAGGTGTTGCAGAGCCCACAGTCACAACACTAGCAGAAGAATGTTTACATTTTTTTAAGAGCTGTTATCATTTACAGTTAAAAATGATCAAGAACAGACAACAAATAAGAAAACAACTGTCTATCTAACCTTTTCCCCACAAAAGAAAAAACGCTTGAAATACAGATGTATGCAACCAAATCCTTACAGGCATATCATGTCCATATGTTTTACACTTACAATTATGTAGTTACAGAAATAAAAATGCCCTCAAACACTACAATAGGTACCTTGGCATGTATCATTCTATTTATTTTTATATCTTTGTCTCTTGTAAGAGTAATACTACTAAACACCATAATATCTAAACCAGTGGCTCTCAAAATTTTTAGGGTCAAGACATCTCTCCTTAGACTCAAGGCACCACTTGGAAAATACCAGCTTCCAGTGTTCACTAGTTTTTTTACTATAGAAATATAATACAGGCATTTGCAACCAACTCAGAAAGGCTCCAACAGATCAGAGCGTTTTAACACTGGGTTTATTTTGGGAATTATGTTTGCACAACTAACAGTGTAAACATTGCAATGGTACCCTGTGGTATCCTTGAAAGATTCTCAAGGCACTTCAGGCAACTGTGATGTCCTTGTTGAGAATCACTCATCTAAATTTTGATGAATACTTTTTTGAAAATAGCATTAGTATCTATGTATGATATTTATACCCTGCTTATAACTTTGGTATCTAAGTTTATGGCAGGAACTGAAGAAAATATGATAATTTAGACACTTAGGCTTGAGACAGACATTTAAAAAGCCCAAGGTTGGAATCGATTTAAGTTACATGGTTTTCTGTAAGCAGAGTAGTTTAGATCATTTTTAAGTTTAGATCACCATTTTTAAAAGAGTCTGTGTGCACCAAGCTTCTGTTCTGTTATGGGTATAGACTGGTTTTGTGCGCTGAACTTTTGTTCTCTTATGGGTATAGACTAGTTTCCGATCACTTATACTGATAAAAAAGTAATGTCTGTACCTGGCCTTAGATTATGCTCTTAAGGACAGTCTTTTTTCTGTTTCAGTATATCACTTAGCAGAAGACGGTAATAGGAACTATTCCCATGCAAATAATAAATACTGATAAATTGGAATTGGCATAGACACATGATTCTTATTCCTTATTCTGTGAAGAGTGATGCATTCATCTTTAATGGACAGCAATGAACAAGGCTTATTTTGGCATGCACGATGGCAACTTGATACAGCACACTGTCTCCAGTTTTCCTGTTAGGACATGGATTTAGAACAGACTTACATAAGAGATTTCTCAGATCTTCAGTGCTGCTTCTTGCTGTAGGAGAATTTTATCTAAAGTCTGCATGCTTTCAAACTAAAGGTCTAATAATGCTTTGTTAGCAAGACAACAACTAACATTGGTATGGCTGAATGCAATGTGTCTGGAAAAGCTACACTCAGGGAGATAAAATAACACATGATAATAAAAATTTGGAATCATCCAATCTATTTTCTGCTCATCAAAGAAAACATTAATCTTTCACACATTGTAACTGATAAATTCTCTTCTCTGTCAATTTAACATGGATTTTATGAGGTTAACAGAACACATGACTGTAGTTAACTAAAGTATTTTGGAATATGCTTTGTTAGGCCCCATGGAATCTCCTAATCTACTATAAAAGAGAGATCCAAGAAATATTTGCTTGAAACTGTCTGTTTTATTTGGCAAATAGCTATCAAAATGTTTTCTACAGGCCAAACCAACATATACACTTTACACAATTCCTAAGCTAGCATGTTTTGCATAATGAAAGGTAAGTTAGAGGTCTCAAACTTCTACTATAATATATACTGTAAATTTATATTTCATTTATATCTATTATTTCTTCTAAGACTTCAAAATTTATCTAGTAGGTTTTTCTTTGGCTTACTGTATATTGTATACTTTAGTGCTTATGAAAGATCTAAATTTATAAGCTCTTCAGAATGAGGCAAAAATTTAATATCATGAGATAAAAGCAATTATTGTGAATGTTCCCTAAAGGTCAGTATTTTTTGTAATCAATATCTATCATAAGACATTATTACATTTTGGACTTCTGTGTCAGTATTGATCTATCTTACCTTCTCAATATGAGTAAAGATTTCACTAAAACACTATATATAAAGAATAAATAATAACTGTGTTGTGACTTGCCGGCAGCTGGCACAGTGGAGTCCTGGTGTCCTAAGGCCCTAAGCCAGTGGTTCTCAACCTTTTTAGATTCAAGGCACCCCTCAGAAAATGTCAGCTCTTAGTTTTCACTTATTTTTTAACTACAGAAAATAGAACAATTCTTCTGCTGCAAAGAACTCAGAAATGCTACAACATGTCAGAAGGGTTTTAATGCTATGGCTTCCTATGTGAAATCACTGAGTTTATCTCATGA